CGGAACGATCAAGAGATAAGGCGGTGAAAGAACCGGATAGTGATCGATCATTCGGATAGTAATTCTTTCCTCTGTTTTTTAATTTTCCTCAGTTTTAAAGAATCGTGGTAAAATATATAAGTCCTATCTTCACAGTAACAAACGCTTCTTTTTTTACGTAATGTTTAATTTGTTCTCAAAACGATCGTAGAATAATACCTATAAGTGCCTACTAAAAATAGTCAACAAATATCAAGCAATGAATGTCTCGCACCAATGGAGACTCGCTATTTAAAGATTAAAATCTCTCGGCAGTCGATTCCACGAGGAAAGCGAATAAAATGTCAGCATCTCGATACGGAATAAAACTCCGAGCACTCGAAAGGGAATAAAATTTTAGGTCTAGCCTGACTCTCGACTCAGCTTATAAAGAAGGAACGAGGACGGAGAAATCCTCTTTAATCCGTCTGCTCGACGTCCTCGTGGGCGAGGGAAGTCGTAGGTTTTCGAAGGTGCCAACCAACCGGTGGAATTCAACGAGGGGATGGCCTCGAACTCGACCTTTCGCGATCGATAATCGAACCGTCGCCAGAAGGAGCATTAATACGCGTAATCTTGCCATGTGTACGCTCGTCGGTAGACATAGTGCGCGAGTAGTCATCCACGACGGTGGTTTAAGCGGAGAATTAGGTCTGGGGTCGGGGAAGACGAATGGTCGAGTCGGGGTCATTCGACTCTCGGAAACCACCAACAAATTAAAAACTACTGTTGTGGTATCTTAAGGGAGGAAAAGAATATTTCTCCAAAGGACATATTTTCATTAAGCATGAATTTTTAATATTTGATTTAATTTGAGATGAATTTTTCAATTTTGATGATTTAATGAGACTCTTCGAGGCATAATGTGTTTCTAGAAGTTAATTTATAGTAGTGCTTGGGATGCTACTGACGAAAGCATTATTCCATTTTTTGGGAAGAATAGTAAGGAAAAGTAAATACGCGTGGGAACATCGATAAAATGTTTGAATATTTGCTAATTGCATTCATCGTTGATGAACGTAGCACAACAATCTGGACACAGTGAAATTAAATATAAATATAGAATCAGCTACCACAATTATGAATTACAAATAATAATTAACTTACTAAAATAGTCTATACAGTCATCTTTCAAGAATCTTTAGGTGGTTTTGTGAGATATTCTCTTTGGTAACAATCGGACCAGCTGGTCAAATTGCTAGACACTGATTGTCTGCGGTGATTCGTGGCTGCCAAACGGATTATTAATGCAAATGAGTGGACTTACTTACTCGTAGAATCTCTAAACCTACGGCATGGTCGATACGGAGTTCAAATCTGTTGGCGCCAGTGTATGTTCAAGGATTGTACGAAGACAAATAGCTCGACGCTGTTTGGGTTTCGCAGAGTGGATGGGTTTCCTTAGGACTGAATAGGCATCTTGACATAAGACAGGTGAAGGAACGGTCCGGACCTCGGGCAACGACCACGCTGGAATCAGATTCAACTGGTCCCTCGGAGCTACTGGAGGGTTAACCCTACCGCATCGTTTAACTGCTGTTAAAGGCTGAAGGGATCCACGCAATCTCTGCGTCGTGTGCACCTTACATGTAGACACAGTTATCTCTGTTATATTTTTTTTTCGTTGCAAGCAGAACAAGCAAGAAATATAAAGGTGTACATATTGGACTATTAAATATGAAGGGGTAGCTTAGCGATGAATCAAGTAATTATGTCTTAGGTAGCAAGTTCGCATATTATTTTCTGACGTTGATCCAATTCCTTATCAGAACCATTAGATCAAAAATGTTCTGACTTAAATTGAAAAACAATAAGACAGGCATGGTTAAGACAGCATGGTTATCTCATTAAAATATCATCAAACAACTACGTTACAAAATACTATTTCAGAAGAGTAAGGAAGCCAGGAATACTTTTTCATCGAAGAAGAAATCTGGAGTTTGAAAAATACTAGTATTCCATACATCTACTTGTTAATTAGCATCTCCCAGGTACGCATCGCAAAACGCCTGAAAATCCATCACCTGGTCACCATGGAAACGCCATTTCCTCCAGCAATAACTTTCCTCCGCGCTCTTCGCGTTCAGTTTCCATCGCTATTTTCATCTGGCGTTTCGACGCCCCCTCGTCGTGGTCTGTTTTCAGCCCCTCAGCTGTGTCGCAGCTAAAGTGAACTTCCTGACTGAACTCAAATATCCGTTATGATCTGCATCCTCGTTGGGTTTCGAGGGAGAAAAGAGGGCAAGGGAAATAAGGAATAGAGGGGCTGGGAACGCATCAGCGACGGGGGTCGAATGTATACACACGTTTACTCTTTACGGGGGCACAAGAGGGTGGTCGGAGGAAGGTGACAGGCCGACTTAGGTGGTGAGACGGTGCGAAAAGGGCTCAGTCGGTGCGCGTGAAATTCGCTTCGCTGATATCGTAATAAATATTAGCTTTCCTCCCTCTCCGGATTGGAACCTGCTATCGTTCGCGAATGGGGGGAAAAGGGGAGCTCGGGAAGCTCGAATCAACGTCAAAATGGAAGCTACAATGCTGCACTCCTTCGCGAGAGACCTTCCATTAGGGTTGACAACGCGGGGGAAAGTTGCCTAATGCGTATCAGCCACCTATGGGGTTGTAACACCTCTTCGTTGCATTTAAATATTCGCAGAAAAGCTTTCGAGTATAGGAATGCTATTATTTATTCACGCTTCGATTCTTTATTCTAATTATCTTTAGAAACTAGTATTACGATATCAATATTTAACGAGATGCAAAGATCTTTATAAGTGAAGAATTATGAAGACAGTCGTGTAAATTTCTTCAAAGGAAAAATTCAGCAGTAACAAAATGCTCCTTAAAAGTCGTTTCTTCTATTAATAAATGAACGCGTTTATTAGTATCTAAAACAACGTTGTATGTACCGTGACATTTTACGTCCTTAGTCGATGCAAGAAATATGAATATTGAGACGGAAATTAACATACTACACGAGCCCCAGGAATACCTGCGTCTTACCTGCAGGATTTACCTTGTCAAGATGCGCGAATATGCGAACGAAAAAGACAAGGTACATAAGGGATAAAGATAATGCTGCAGGTCGAGGGGCTTGGTAGACTGGCAGAGAGATAAAAACAGACAAAAATGGACGCGTATGATCCCCCCGAGGAAAGGTTCTTGGTCCAGAAGCTTCCCGAACGATTATAACGATTTTCACGGTAAACATTTGCCCATAGCTCACGCTTGCTGCTGCGGTTCAAGTTAAATTACCTTCAAAATTGCATCTCCCTAGTGGCGTTGCGTTATAATGGTAACCCGGCCACCGACTCGGATCGCTCGCATAAATTTCAGCCTGGCGAGCTTTGCTAGAACTCGCGGCGCGTTGCACGTGCGCCCATAATTGAGCGAGGATAACGATAAACAGCAAGTTTTATGCAGATGCGTCGATGATGATGACGGTGACGATGATATTTTGCGCGAAGGCCCCTCGATCGTGCGATTTTCCTGTTTCCCGTTTTTCAGCTGGATTGATATACTGTCTCTTCGACCCCTGTTTTGGGAGGGCTCTAATCCACGTATATTAGGCGAATATTCGAATATGGAGGGTGATTTTTGGGACGAGAAATACGCCGAGCATCAACTTCGTACTTTAATTTATCTACTCACAAGGCTCGTCTACTCGTCAAAGTTCAATATACGTTCGCCTCTCTGTATTTATCTGCGAAAGGTAATTATCGTTCCAACTGTGAACTGAAAGCAAACGGAAGCTTCAAATGAGAAGTGAGAGAAATACAAAACGGGGGTTATGTTGGCCAATTTACGTTTCCCTCAAAAGTAAATACAAAAAATATTTTTCCCTTGGAAATAAATTCCAATTAAATTCGAATTAAAGATTAAAAATGTAGTTAAAATCTTACTTTTATTTACTATTTATTATACAACGCGTTGACTGCCAAACCCAGATTTATTGTCTTCAGCAACTCACCTTCGGAATTAACCCCCTCGATTTATCAACAAAAATTCCTATCGCGTTAAGTAAAATATTCCCGACTTCGTCGCCAACATTAAGCTAAATAAAAGAAACAACCACGACCCCATCGCGAAGTTCACAATGTGAACACATGTCTCTTCAGCTTTCTTATTCCGCTGCCAAGGGATCGAGCGAATACGATCGACGAAATTTCCCTTTACGACCATCTTTTGCGCCATCTAATCCTTCTCGTAAAAGCGTGTTTCCAGGATGCAGGAGAAATCTCGGGTGTGCGCCGCGAAAAAGTTGGAGGGAAGCTGCTGAATGAAAGAAACGATACGTTCGGGTGGGAAATTGAGGCAGAAATTCAACGCGAGAATTCCGTGGTAAAACACGCCGAATAAATAACATTGTGTTGGCTTTCTTATACGTTTCTTTGTCCTGGATTGATTCACGGTGTTAAATCGCGCTGCTTAATCCTCGCGATATTCGTATTCGTCGCTATTTTGTTTCGCCTCTGCGAATTACGTTCAAGCCGGTAATTAGCTTACCCTGAGGGGAGGAAAATCACGGAGATAAGGGGGATGAAAGGACAATTTAATTTCGTATTTGGCGTAATTATCGGAGAAGCGGAAAAAGAAATACAATATAAAATGAAATCAACTGTAATTAATTTATTATTCAGAGAAAGTCTTAAAATGTGAACCACTTTGTAACTAAATGAAGGTTAATATGTAGTCACACAAACTATACATTTCACACATTAATTGCAACCAATTTAATTTCACATATGAAGTCCTCACAAACTCTGATCAAATTCTTATATGGAATTCTCAAAATCTAAAAGCTTTCATGTCGATCCTGTTGGTAGTTCAATTCTTCGAGTTATTTCTGTGAGAAGTAACGTATCGGTGTTAAAATTGGTCGGTCGAGAACACGATAAGAAATTTTCTAGAACGTAATGTATTGTGCTGTACGTTTCGTACGGTTCGCTGAATTATTCTGACGTTACTTTTCTGTTTTCCAGAGCTTGCCACAAACCCCAGCTGGCGGTGTCGGTGGAAAAGGAAGCGGAAGTGCCGGCGCCGGTTCTAGTATGGTCAATGGTTCCGGTACCGATCATCAGGATATTCGTGACGGGGCTGCTTTAAACACAGAGCACGTGAGTAATTTCATTCCTCGCATTTTTTTCCATCAGTCATATTGCACGAGGGAACGCGATCCATTACTGCCATTGATTTTCTGCGCTAAACGGTAATCGATTTTCTGGATTTTCCAAATTTTAATATTTCCTTTACTTTCAGAGTAATGTAGATAAGAATATTCTGGAAGATGTAAAGAATATTATTTATTTTTCTATGACCACTATTTTTAATTAAATAATTATCTTCATCGTACTTGCAGAGCAACAAATCATTGCCAGTTTAAAATTAAATGTACCCTATATTTAATTGTGTTTTAAAGACGAAGATGAAACGTTAAATTAGTGATTAGTTCCAAATTTTTATTTTTCACACATACAAACCTTCGACCGGTCAATTTTGATCGCTTGAAACGATTTGCTCGAGCCAAGCAACACGCTCTCGTTAGAAAACGGTCTCGTAGAAATTTCGTCGCGTCCCCAACTATAGAGCGACCATAGTAACGGAAAAACCGGCGAGTTCCTCGGCCGAGCGAACAAGAACAAATCGCTCGTTTCTTCGACAATGATTGCCGTTAGTGTTCTTCGAAACTTCCTTAAAAGTACCTCCACGAGAAAAGTTTCGCAGTGAAAGCAACAAAGTGAGTCATTCGCCGTGCCGCGGCGCATTGTTTGCTTTCTTTTGCCTTATTTCACGGCTATCCTTATACAACCGGATAGTGGGATCCCGGGGAGAAATAAACGAGGAAAGAAACTGCTTCGAACATATTCGAACAATTCGGGAAAATCTTCGCAATTCCCTACTGACAGACGACAATCGATAAATACTGGTTTAAATCACCTGTCGAAATTAGTGGAAACAATCAGACGTGTAATAGATTCACTATTAATTATGCGATAACTTCTGTGCTTAATTTTAGGGTTTAGGTTTATTGAGCCTAATAAACTTGTGGTACCTATCGAAGAAACATAACGCAATTTTGTAAAAATTATTTGACATATACAGTATATGGTGGAATCATTAGGGCCCATTTATTGTTAGGATCATTTGTGACCCAGGCACTTAAACAATATTTTATACTTACTTCCAAACAAAAGGTTCCCTAAAAGAAGCTTCAGTATTTGTTTCTTAATAACAAAATGCGCCATCAACTTTCACGTTGAATAATAATAATAATCCTGTTAATTCTCGTTTATAATAAAAATGTCGATTATATTCCATACCAATCATGTTTGATTAAGAAACAAATTCCAAAAGCTACATTTGGAAAACTCTATTCTTACCATTTACGAAAGAGCACTGCCCATTAATAACACGAACAGTCCATATAACGAGTACTGAATCTTATAAATCACGTGATTCATAAAGAATCTCAGGTACAGCCCCAAATCCAGGCCAACAGTCCCCGCCAGTACACGAAATCGCGGACTTATTAGCGTAGCCCCGATATCGCGTTTCCATCGCGGCGGTAAAACATTCCGTGGCCGATCGATTCGATCAACAGGATTAAAAAAGCCTGGAAGACAGTTCAATCGGAAATCGGCTGGACATAGCCCGGGAATCCCGGAATTAAGCGATTACTTCCGAAGTTAACCATTGTTCTAGCCAGTCCATCAATCGAACCTTCCCTATTCCAGCCTCTCCCTCGTTTCCAGCTCTCGCCGCGATCCTCCATTCCGATTTTTGCGCGTTGATCCATTCGCACGGAATTAAAACCTTTATCTACGTTTCTCCGCCCTGCTTCGTCGAGCTGCGAGCAGCGAAAACGGACGAGAATGAGAACCGTGGATGAGAGGAGGCGGGCGGGGAGGCAGAAAACGGTGGACTTTCCATCGATGAAGCTTTATATAGCTCTTCAGCTATGCTCGTCGAATACCTGCGATCGTTTGTTTCGGAACGCTCTCGGTCTTCCGTTCCGTCTGATAAGCGACGTCAATTTTTACGTCACTTTTTTATGACTTCGCTTGCCCTCTTTCATGGTTTCATCGTTCCTCCGAGTAGGTTTCGTCGTGACCCTTGGATTGGCTCTCGCGAATTCCTTCTTTCAGGTGACGATTTATAGAATCTTCTACGTGTTGATATAGGTTGGATTGTGTAGTTAGTGTTAGAATTGTATTACAGAGGAACTAGCAAAGGAGAGTGTATTAAAGTTGAGCTCGTTTCATGTGATTAGGTTTGGGTGGTGGTTGCACAAAAATATTTGGCACGTATTTTTTTTCCTTGTAGTAATTGTTCGTGTTGACGCAGTGAAAATAATCCTGAAAGATGTCTCAATTATTATGAGTCTATTTAATTTTACAGTGATCTACAAAAATCTGCATAACATTTATGCTATTCCTCATCGAGTGTCGATGCTACCATGTACAGATTTTATGTATTTATGGTAATATGAAAATCACATGTAAATCATATTGCAGGATATGTTTCATAAAATACCCTAATACCACTAATATTTCACTAATATTTCATTTTCCATAAGTCTGTGGATTCTGAATGGATTTACCATATGTTTTGCATATTTGTTTGCCTCATTAGTGCACAGAATCCACCAAAGCCCAGCTGCGTGAATAGAAAATTGAATTCCCAATAATAAAAATTATTTTACCTATCACGATCATGAAGATACCTTAAAAACTTCACTAACCTTAATTTGCTAGCCTCCTTTTAAGAGTCTGTACCGACCTACTATTCCTAATTATACCCTACCTTTGATCCTCCCCTCGATTTTTCTTTTTCCGTGCCATCGTTGAATTTTTTACTCCGGTTAAATCCATCGTCTCGTCTTTCAGTCTTAAATCCCATTTTCTTAATTCAGGATTTCACTGTCACGATGTTGATACTTTTATCGTTTACAGCTTTCCGCCGTAATTCTGACATAAATCCACTCTCGTATTTCTCGTTTCTCCGAGAACCTCCTTCGTTATATAATTCCTCGCCTTCAGGCTCCTCAGTTTTCCCCCCTTCTCCTCACATTTCCCTGATAAGCCCTTTTTTGTTTCTGGGTTGGTGTAAAGTCTTTCTTACGCGCAAACAAACCTTCCCCAAAGCTTTATCTTTTCTATTCTCGCTCCCTTCGCATTTCCCTTGACGATTTTAATTCGTCCCCAGTGTCGTTTCTCTGTTTTCTTTCACTCTGCCTTACGTCTCGTTCCGTCATACTCGTCCACGCTGATATTTTCCTCTCTATTCCAATCGTGCGCCGTTTTCTCTTTTTCTGAAACGTCGGGGATCTTTCTCGCAATTTTCGATGATGTACTATCGATTTACATGAGACAGCAGAAAAAGCACGCCTTCGTCAAATCCAGCGTTGGTTATATGGATTCTATAATCGAAAACCGAGATAGGGCCAGAGGAAAATGAGAGGGGCGCAGTCGAATATTTCATCTTCGCCGAGAGGCGAGAGCTTTCAGCAAGTCATTGTACCTCCGAGGTAATATTTCGGACGACTTTTGTGAAACAAGCGCATTGATATCCGCGGAAAAATCGTTGGGGATTCCGATATCCATATTTTCCGCGAAATACGTCATTGAAATCGTTTCAGCTCCCTCTTGAAATACGTTTCATGTAATTATAGTCGTTATAGTTACATTTTTCCACTGGGATTCCAACCCTTTTCGTGCGTAGAAAGATAATGAAATCAAAGTGAAGTAAAAGAAAAAGAAGGAGAATAGGAATATTAAAATTCCCAATTGAATTAAAAATAGTTAAAGGAGGTATGTTAAGAATTGGAAATATTGTATTGAAACACCAGAATATGATGAAGTGAAACTCCCAGAGCTCATCATAATTGACAAACTTGAAGCACGAAACGAAGTATCGATTACTTCCTTGACTACTCCCAAATAATTATCTGAAGCAAGTTATTAAATATACATAGTTTGCGATAGCTTGAAGTTAGGGAATTAAATTTAACTAGTTGTCTTCGTTGAAGACAGTACTTAACTTTACATGCAAAATTATGAAACACTTCATGTAATTCTGATATTATTTAATATTTCTGAAAGTAATTGCACTCGAAAACAATTTATATTGTTTCGGAGTACGTCTAATATTACCATCAAATGTAGTTAATGGTGGCCCGAAGTTAGAAGGTAAAATTTTACTCGTTATTAACTCCAGCTTTCATAAAGTATAGAATATCTCGCTTACTGATGCGCGTACGTCAAAAAGGTATATAACAAAAGTTACTGAAAATTAAATTTGAAAAGCTTCTCGTTCTAGACAAATTTTTGATAAAATTAATAGTAACCGAGATATCGACCCTTGATATTATAAGATTCCTATCAAGAGGAGGGTTGTTAGGGCACCACATATAAAATCTGCAATATCTTGCTTACGGTTGTACATAGACTAAAAATGTACACAACAAAAATTGTTGCAAAGTTTATTAGGAAATATTCATGTTCAACCCAAATTTTCGACAGAATTAATAATAATCGAGATATCGATAATTTACTATCGTACAAAAGTGAGAATCAGCGGAGTTTTGTTAATTTGTCCTCCAAAACAAATAAAACGAAGTACATCGTGTATCAGGAAGTTCCGAAATAATTATAGCTTCGTATTAGTGTTTCCCAACTCCGAGAACGTCGAGTAGTTCGCGCAGTTTTCTAAATAATAAGACGCAGCGAACGCGATGGTTCGATAATTCCGACTACGCCGAAACTAAATCCTGTCGACTTAACCATATCTTCATAGGAGTTTCCTGCGTTTCGACTTATCTGAGTAGGGCAGTTAGCCTGTAACCATGCTGACTGTGAAGTTGCTCCGTACTTCCCCTCTGTTAAACACGCTCACTAATTCCTTAATAGGAGAAATCCTTGGAGTACTCGGGATCTACGAACTTGCGCTTCGCGAAAACGAGGAGGCGGTTAGAACGCCGTCAGCGTTAAACAGAAACATGATTGGTTTATACATATTTCATGCAACTATTTCTATTGGTTAGATTTTTAATTCAATTTTATTTATTTATCTTCGTTTAACGAAGCTACTTACACTTGCAACGTTTTTAAGGAAATTGTATCTTAAACTCTTAAATTTTCTCGTAACATGAAACTCCATTTACGTTGATTAATATCATTTTAAAATATTCAAAGAAGAAATATAATAAAATATTTATAAATTGTATCATACATATAAAAGGTCAATAAACATAAAAAACTAATATATTGAGGATGAACAAATTATTTCCTTAAGAAGAGCTTAGATACAACCCCTGCAGTAAGCAATCATTCGATTATCGAACGCAACAAATATTATCTCTTTGTCGGGAAAGGTTAATTCACCGTGGTCAGTGCTAATGAATCTTCAATTAATTAGGACAGAAAGAAAATTTCAAAGGCAACCCAGCCAACGGAATATCCACCGAGTAGTCTTCCAGGCAATTATCCTTGAACGTAGGGAGATTTTTAAGCTAGAATATTACACCCTAAAGCCCGTTCGTCGTGAAAATAGTCAGAACAGCGAGCAGCCGGAAAATTAGTCCGGTGAGAGTGGAGAGAGGCCTTGGAAAACCGGAAGTACCAAACGACGACGGCCCGTGGCATCGCTCGGCCGAGCACGTACACATCCGGCTGTTTTATTTTCGTTGTCGCGCGCCACTGGACCTACGACGAGGAAAAAACTAATTCCGTAATTGCGATCCAAATTTCTTTTGCGCGAGGGAACTTACCAACCCGCGCCCATTCTTCCTTTCCCTCCGTCTTCAAAAACATTCCTCATCTTTGGTTCTCGACGATCCTTTGTCTCCCCCTCCCTTCAGCCTCCTTTCTTTTTCGAAAAAGAAAACTCTTCTCTTGCACTTATTTGCCACCGCTTCCATTAAATCCCGCTTCTGCTTCCGTCAATCCAGGCTCCGTTTTCCGCCTTACTTATTTAGGTTCTCGTCATTTGCCTTGGATGCCAACACGACTTTCTCTCTCGCTTTTATACCCTTTTGGTGATATTTAATCTCTCGAATTATTTCTTCTTGTCATTTCCAATTTTAATTCTTCGATTAATTTGGATGGTTACCCTTTCTTGTATTCTTTTTCACTTGTGAGTAATCGTGAAACTTTCATAGGAATTTTCTTGTAAGATGTCCTATTCTGAAGGATAGTATAACCTAGCCGATCCATCAATACAAGAAAGTATTTTTCGACATATTTCCATGACACTCTATACGATATAATGAACTCGATACTTTTAAATCACTTTTTTGATAAGAAAGTCAACACATTGGATATTTCATGCAGTACTACAAAAAGCATAGAAAAATGATTTACCTCTAATCTACTACACTCTCTAATTTATTCGAGCTAAGTTCCTCCCGAAGAATGCGAAGAGATTCAGAATTTTTCAAGACTTAATAAATCTCCAGGAACATTTAAGAGTGGCAAGGCTTTCGAGGAACACTCAACTTCTCCTATTACGACACAGGGGGTTAGGAAGTTTTAATTTTTTAATTCCTCTTTAAATTGATGTTTTCTCTATTTTCTAGTTCCACGAGGTCCCCGCTTATCGCCGAATCGTTCTTTTCTCGTTTCCTCCGGTCGTGTTGCGCTCTTTGGGCACTTTCATCGAGCCACGGCTCGGATCCTTCCTTTTTTCGTCTTCATTTCATCTTTTTCGGACCACGCTCTAATTCCCTTCGGTGTTCTTTGCCTCCTTTTGCCGCGTCGCCGTTTCTCAGGATGCAGCGAAACCACGCCGCCGCTGGTCGCCCTATTTCCGTTTTGCCGATGCACCGACGGGTCCTTATTATTTAAATTTTTAGTCCGTGAAATTGCGACCGAGCGTGTCACAAAGGCAATAATCGGACGGATGTACAAGAGTACAATGCGAGAGGGATCACTGTCGTGGTCTTTGTACGTTGGCGTCGCGTTCGAGTCGACGTTCGCGAATTCTTGCACGCGTACCTTGCGCGTTGAATTAATTCTATTAGTGGGCTGAGGCAAATTTCAGAGCTGAAGATAATTGTTCACGGAGTGCACGTGACATTGATCGTACAAACTGATTTGGAGGTGCTGACGAAAGATTTACATGCGCATTTTGTTACTTGAACTGATTAATCGTTTGAGTACGACTTCGAGGCGATGTCTGACCAATACTCCCTGCATCTACTTGCGTTTGTATTTCCAAACTTTGATCGAGGTACAGTATTTTCTCTTCTAACTAGTTTAAACTATTTGAAACTAAAATTCATAAAACACATATGTATACATCTATTATCGTTGACAATCGTATCGAAAGATACGTCTGATCAATTCTCCCTACTTCTACTTGAGTCAAGCTTCGTGAACATTACCTGCGGTTCATTTTCTTCTCCAAACAAATTCTCAATTGAAAAATCCTCATAAGTGAACAATATTAACAGAACCTAACAGAAACCTATTTAGAAACCTGAATTTAATTATACCGCCTCATAAATCTCCCCCGCGACGATTAAAGTGCCACCATTATCATTCGAAGTTACTCCAGAATATTAAAAGTGATCGTAACTTCTTTTTCCCCGACGAAGCACGCCACTGTTTTTTTTCCTTCGTATCCCTAGCCCCCATTGTCTTTTTCTTTGTTTGCTCTTTGTCTGTCCTTGCCAAAAGCAGGAAATGAAAAACGCAACGATTAAACGAGGCCAGGCAGTCGAATTAAAGTTTCATTAACCATCCCTCTTTTAGGCTGTGGACTCTTGTCCTCGGCTTGAGCGTCTTGGTGTGGTAGTCTCCCTTTTTTATGGGTCACGTCAGACGGTTAATACCGGAGAGCTTGAAGATGAGTTATTCTACGTCGGATCATGCAACTTTTCCGGCTCGAGAATTGCTATGGAATGTTTCTATTACTTTTTTTCGACGGTGGCGCGACGAACAACGTGAAAAACAGTTAATAAAACTGTTCTTGCCGGTGACGTAGACTGCATTTAGACATGAATGCCATGTTTGACTTTGTTCGGGGTTTTATGTAGTTGTACGAGGAACTCTAAACTAGAGTTGGACATATTGCGCTGTCTGAAAGTTTAGGGACACTTTTATGAAGAAGTAAATACAATAAATATTGCAACAAAATTGCATGCATTAACGCGATTTAGTTTTGTATTTTCATCAAAGTTTAAGTATTTCATTTAAATTCATTTTCTGTGACTTTCAGAATCAATTTTTGTAGTTGTTGAATGAAAAGCACTGTTATTAGTGATATTTCATACTGTATAAACCTAAGGTTGTTAAAGAGGTAATTCATATCTTGTTTGTCGAGAAAAAATTCCTTTGAAAAAGCACTGGAAAGGATTGCCACTGTAACTAATATTGCATTAAACGAGAACGTTACCCTATGATAAATCGAAATGTTTTTAGCGTCCTCAGCCCCTCTTTAAATATGTTTAATGACATTAAGGGGGACGAGAAGGAGAGGATCGAGAGGGTGGTAGTTGCAGGATGTAACGACGAAATAGAGCTGAACGTTTTATTAAGCCAGATACATAAAAACCGCGACGGAAGGGACGAAGGCGTGGAAAAAGCATGGGGGTGGTGCGCACCGAACGAAAACAATGGAAAAGAAGAGAAAACTCGACGCTGTATAACAATGGATCCCGCCAGCGTGGCTCTGAATTCGCCATCCTTTCGGCCACCTTCCGCACCCCTCGGCCGCCCTCCATTTTTCCTAACGCATTGCTCGGCTCTTTTTTCTCTTCCTTCAGACGGTATAATGTGGAAAGCGTCGGAAAATGCTCGCCGCTTCCGTGACCGCACCCCCCTCGCGAGCTCAAAGGCGATCGCTGGGACGCTTTATTAAAGCCAAAGCTAGGTGTTAAGCAGCCGACTTAGCCGCGTTATTGTCGTGGCTGCGTCGAAGGAAGGGCTCGCGCGAGACGCGTGCTTTATACTCGGAACAATTGTCCTCGACGTGTCGACTGCCACGCGAGTTTACAACAATCACCGATACTCGCGCGATTCCAGACAATGCCGACAGGAAACCTGTAAAATAACAAGCACGCCGAGGCATGATCTGACGTCTCTATTCTTTGTACTATAATGTGAACGTCTGTCGAGGAACAGGCATGGCAGGCAACGTTTTGAGGAAAAATTGCACTATGAAAAGGGTCCGTCGATTATAAATCTCCAGAAGTGAAGTGTTCAACCATTTCGACGCCCGCGAGGAATATATTTATTAAATAGATGCTCTTTTCTTTTATATTCTCGTCTTCCCAAAGCTATAACCATTCATATCACGGGTCGTCCAGTTAGCCTGATCGCGAAGTAACGAAGCTTGCCCCGAAACTGATAAAAAATAAAACACTACCCCCCTAAACCTAAAATCGACTTATTTAAGAAGTTACTCAGGCATTGCTATCACAAATGTTATGTTCCTTCCAGTAATATCCCTGTAATCAGACCAGAGGCGTTCATAATTCGATTGAGCCGTCGCAGGAAAGTACAGGGCCAAAGTATAGTCCCTTCGAAGGGCCCGGTTGGCCAGCAAATTTTCCCCGAGTTATGCTTTCACTCGGCAGCTCGTAAACTGCAATCTCTGGCCTCGCATCGTTACGTATTTCCTCCCCTTCCTTCCCTTGTTGGAAATTTGTTATCGTGATCACTTCGACCCCTCGTTCCATCCAATTTCCTCAGAATGGAGCTACGGTTCGCCTCTTTGAAACGAAACGGACGTCCGTCGCGAGCCGTTCCTGAGGGTCGTGCGATCGCTCGAATTGCGACAAGCAACACGGAAATCGCGAGCGCACGGCGAGCACCGCGCGACAAAGGAGAACGTATACTGCACACGAGCACGATCGTCCCGTTGGATCTTGCACGAGATTGCTACTTACCCTCCTCCTCGAAGCGAGGCCAACCCTTTCCGCGCCTGTTCAATGGGGGAGACGCGTATAAATCGTCACCGGGCCTTTTTACGCTCTATCGCGCTGGAATGCAGCGATATCTCGGAGAGGATTGATCCGAGCTATAAAAATAAATATATGGTTACAAATTGGGGGAGGGATGTATATATTGGGCTCACTTTGAATGTCTTCTTGAAGTGGAGTGTTTTTAGTAGGCAGGGGATAGTTTTATTTCTACTGTTTTGTATTTATTGGATTCTAATATATTTTTAATTCTAATGTGATTAGTTGAAGGTGCTTTTAATTTTACAAGACAGGTCTTTCTCTCTTATTGATATGTCACATAGAACAAATAATAAATGAAGATTTTATATGATTGGATCGAATTTGACTTGTATTGATTTTGTATCGAGCATGAATTTTTCTTGAATATTTGTTTCAAAAATATTTTCGTTATAATAGAACAATGTAAATAAGATTGCAAAACTTCTAAGGATTTAAAGGAGAAATTAGTCCATCATTGGTGAAACTATACGTCAGTCTGTCATGGATCTTTGTATGCGTGAGGCTTCACACGTGCGATGGCAATCTCTCGAAGCTTCTGCAAACTCAGCTCGGGCACGTTTGTGGGCTGAGCTTTTTCATAAACCCTCCCGTAAATTGCGCGCGCGTTTGATTGATATCAGAGAAAGAGGGAAGGTTTCTCTTTATTTCGGTTGAATTTAATTCCACTGGGTGGAAGTGTTCATGATGAGGGTTGGGAAATGGAATATTATTCATCCCTCGTGACCCTTAGTTTTGGGCTAATTTTCTTTTTTCCTTTGTAATGAATTGACCATTGTTGGATTATTTGCCCTCTGAACTCTTTAAACCTACTATACATTGTCATGCAATTACCTTGAAATTATTTTTCAAAAGAATATAATTCATTTTATAGAATAAAAAAGGTTTAAATATACGTCTTCGAAGTTTTCAAACATTTTTAGAATTCGTGTACATCATCGCGTACATACGAGGACTTTAATATTATTTTTTAATTTTAAAGAATTAATTTCTTAGGTAAATGTTTGAATACGTGTCCCCGATATATTTCAATCTCCTCGGGCTTCCTGGACATTGTCACGTACGTGGACTTTAAGACTTTTAAATTCAAAATTATTAAATTCTTGAGATAATGAAAGTCCGAATGTGTGTCTTTAAAGTTTTCTCATCAGCTCCTACCTGGTTACGTACAAGAACTCTAAGATTGTTTTTTAATATAAATTGTACTTTAGAAAATTGGTAATACCATACCACCATCCATGTTCACTGTTGGCAGTGCGAGTGGAAGTAATTGATAATAGTCAGACACGTTCCTTGTGCCGTACTCGAGCGCCGCAAGTAGAAGTAACCAGCATTGGTCAGACACGTCGTTGAAATTCTGTTCAGTGATACACGTGCTCAGAGGCCAACTACGATAAGTCGAAATTCTTTCAATAAGGGACAATTGAAATAAATTATCTAACTAATATTCCATTTCTCCATTTAGGCTATTAAATTTCCAATATTCTAACATGCCATGTTTTGCTTCTAAAGCATAAATATTTGTCCATATTTTTTACATACGTCGACCAAAATTCGAACTTTTCGCCTCAACAGAATCCATCTTTCAACCATTATTCCCAATTCATCGATCAAAACCCCGCCTTCCATCGATCCCCTGCCATTCATATGCTTGTCTCGTTTATTTCATTTCTACGTTTCCTTTCTCGATTCCCACACCGCTCGGACGCGAAACGTCCAATCTTTTAACGCTCCCGTTCACTTTGAGTCGACGTTTTATTTAAAATCGAGGACAGTTCAACCACTGTCCTGTCGCACTTTCCTCGATTCCCGACCAATTAATTTCGCTCAGCGGCGTTGCCTCGCTTTGTTCGGCAGCTTCTCACGTTCACCCTCCGTATACATCTTTCCAACGGCGAAAGGTTTCTGAAATAAAAAGCTCACGGGGGAGGCTCTCTAATGGATTCCATCAGCCTGGATAAATTTCGTTCGATCCTCATCGCTCTTGAAGATTCTTCATTATTTTGCAATCACTTATTACAAGCGCGTCTCCACGGTGCTCCGAAGGATGCACCGCCCCTGCAATTTATCCACCCCCCCCCCCCTATCGATCCTTCTCGGCTAATACGCTTCCAGACGGAACAACGCGCGAGCTTGTGTCAAATTCTGTCGACTTGCGACCTTTGTACGTCCATTACCTCCTTGTTTAATCATCACAGAAGACTTTCTGCGAAGCACTCAACCTCTAAATTAATTCTTCTTCTTGGCCACAAAATTAAGGCAGAGGTTTGATAAAGTACAAAACATATGATTTATTATTAAGATTCAGAATTAAGTATGAAAATATCCTCCATACATTTCGTAGTACTGTGTTGCAACTGATTAAAAAATGAGGCGAATGATACACTAGAAGCGATGAGAATTAAATGTTGCTGCACTCGATGCTCTTCGATTTGTAATTCGTTTTGTCGATTAATAATTGAACCGAGTAAAGTAATTGTTGAATTCTTTATGGGCTAAACCATCGGGCCACCTACCACAGGAAAATTGCAACTTGTTACCGAAAGAGGGAGCACAAATGCTTATTAGGGAGTTTCGCATTAAAGTATAATTAGAAATGCAATGAAATTGCTCGAGTCGCGGTTAAAAGAAGAGAAAACGACGAGGAGAAATTGTACAAGGGGATGGGGGATAATAAGAAGTCTAGGCGATTTCCAGCACGAAACTTTCCAGTCGTTTGCTTTATTGCCTCCTTAAAACGGAAATCGTCGCCGCTCGGTTATAGCTGTCTACTAATTAAGACGACTTCCTCGTCATTGTTCCTCGGCCGTTTTCATTTTATACGACGAGTGACACTGTTAGTATGGAGAATTCAATAGCGATTCAAGTGGCTGCGATATTCATGCAGTTCGACACTCTCGTTTCGAAGGCAAGTTCGTGGAACTGAATTCGACGCTTATATTCAGATGTGGACATTTGTAAAAGTGTTTTTAATGAGCCTTAAAGAGAGTTATATTCTACACGAAAAAAATTGAAGAAATTTTCCCTGTACCTTCTGTGATAGGATTCTCTTTTCTTCTATCTTTCTTTTATTGTAGTCATTTTCATTTATTTTCTATTCACCATCAGACTTCTTACTGTCTTTTTTAATAAATTCTGCTGAATATTGAATATATGTTTCCATCTTCTGCTTTAATTGTTAACATACCAATTAAATTCTTCCAATTTATTTTACATTAAGATCTATTAACATCCAGCTCCACAAGCCTCGCGGAAGCTAACTAACGACCACGTTTCTTCGTGACACCAGTGAGTGCATAATCCAGCGTTGTAGTACACGTGAACTTGCATGCTTTTTCGTGCACCTAGACAAATGTAACCCCTCAAGCTCCCAACTTGAGAGGAGGGGTGGCGGAAGCTTCTAGCAGTTCGCCAAGGGGATCGATGCTGGAAAGAAAAACCGACAACCGTAGGAAACTCGGACAGCCCGGTGACGTTGGAATGTTTTATAACGGGTGGACCACGCGCGTTTTCTTCGTGTTTTCTTTCGTCGGCCATACGCCTCCTCTTTTCCCGTCTCCTCCCCACCTCTTCCCCACCGAAAACAGAAACGACGCTGGCTCGAGACCCGCTGAATAGCACGCAATTGTTACGGCGGCGACAAAAGTTTAGTTAAAACGCGGAGACCCGGTTTCGCGGATTTGTTTTCCGTCTTTCTTCGCCCACCGTGGCTCGCAATTAAACGCGCGCCATAATTGTTCGGAAAAACGGATTTCGAAAAGGGAGCACCGCTAAGTGGAGTGTGCTCCGACTACGCGGCAAAGGTTGGCCGCATGAAACGATCGCAGGAAGAACTCAGAGTACGTCGGTTATTCCTTAAAGTAAAGAGCGTTGATAGGAAGGGAAGGGTTAAATGGAAGACGAAGTTATGCCAGGAGATGACAGATGAATTTTTAGGAAATTATACAGGTAGTTACAGGAGAAAGTTCTAGGACATGCAAGTATACTCCTTTTTTTCAATCAGTTTCTTGATTTTTTTTGCAACCAATGTAGTGGATATAAACTTTTGAAATTTAGCATGTTTATCTGTACGTATATATAGAAGATTCCCTTAAATTTTCAATTGTCTTGCTCAATTTGTTTACAAATTGCGTACAATATTCTACGAGTCCGACACTGATGAATGAATAACAAGGTAAATTAGGTAAATAATAAAAGAAAATTGATAAATAGGGACACTTTACACATACTACTAAGTATGTAAATTTAGTGGCTTGACAAAAATAGAAACTAACTAAAATAAACCATTCGGTAGAAATATTTGAAAGACCTCGAACAACAAAAATATTAATCCAGAAAAACAATGTATCTTCTTAAAACCTGTACTAATGCCATTATAAAAATGATAAAAACTTAAATCTGAAAGAGTCCAACGTCAGCTGTGCAGAGAAAGTTTGCAAGATTCCCTTACAGCGCCCAAATCGTTTCGAATTGGGGTGAAACGGTCTAAACTCCGGGACATAAATTTCGGAACGAAAGCTGCAAGTTTTTCGTCAAACTCGTGCCCCGTAGGGTGAACGTGTCCTCCTCCCCCCTTCCAATGACAAGTTTACGAGGCAGGAATTCTGCTTCGTCAATACTGTATTAGCCCGCGATAAGTTTAAGCCATTTGAGTCCTCGGTGAATTATTCGGGCTTACCGGTCGGGGCAACTTTAACGGCTCGCAGATTTAACAGGGGCCCAGGTACAAACTTTGCTACGGGGCCAACTGAAAAGCTCGAGGTATTCGGCCGTGGAACTGAAACAAATTTCTAATTTCGTACGCGTACAGACTTGAAAGAGTTCTCCGTCGTTGCAAGGATTAGTGGAACGGTGGACAACGACAAGGGAGGAGGAGCAAGTTTATTTATCGTTTTGGATATATTTCGTCGATCCTTCTATTCTATTGTTGGAACCTCGAGAAACCTTCTTGGAACACGTTTGGACATTTTCAGGGGATGTTCAACCTTGTTTTTTGGAGACAGTAATTAAAACGGAAGACGTATTTATTTTTGTTGACCAGCTAATGGAATTGGTATAATTAGTATGCCTGCTTGTAGTGACTGACAGGTCATCTGTTTTCAAACTTGTTCTATAATTCTGTGTTTATATAAGCTGTTTTATTATTCTGCACTTATTTTTATTTCTGCCAAGTATACTCTTCAATACTCAAATTAAAATATTCATGAAATGTTAAATTTAAAACGAAGTATTTTTATCTTGGTAAATGAAGTACAGAATAAAATATTTCGACTATGAATTCCACTAACTAAAATATACGTAAATTCGTATAGAATATATCCACTACTTCCAGTCCCCCTCAAATAAAATACAATTTTAAATACTTACTGCACCGAGCAAGATATTTCATTTTAATATTAACGCTTGGAAATAAAATAGACCATTTGATACTTAAAATAATAGTTCATCCAACTTTCAGTCAACCACCTGCAGACTTTCAAAATCCCAAAATGTTCCCCCTGCCCTGATACGACACGTAAGCGTTTCTCCGTGCAGCACTCAACGAAAATCTACCCCTAAACTCTCTTCATCGTTCTCAATCAATTAACCAATTTCATGTTTGATTCCAGGCCCTGGTTTATCGGGACGGGAACCTCGTCTCCGGGTCTCTGGAGGCCCTGGTGCAGCACATGGTGCCCACCGAGGAGTATTATCCCGATCGGGCGTACCTCTTCGCCTTTTTGCTGAGCGCCAGGCTCTTCATCAAGCCGCACGAGCTCCTGGGCGAGGTCTGCGCCCTCTGCGAGCATCAGCAAAACCTGAATGGAGAGGGTGGCAAGGTGAGCCACGAATCCCGCGTCCCACAAAAGCCCGCCGAGAGCCTTCCGGGCGTGCACTTTACGGCCACCGCGTGCATTATCGTTTCATCGTCTCGCAGACTCGACCCCCTTTTGCATTCACCCCCTCCGGAGAATCATCCCCGGCACGCTTCGCTCTCGTTCCGCGTTGTAATAACGAGCACGCGTATCCAGGCCAGAAAAGTCTTGCTCGCAAATGAACTTTTCCACCAACCCCCTCTGCTGGCCTCCCTTCACCCCTATTCTATTTTTTTTTATTTCAATTTGACCCTGCTTTGCGCTATATTTTTGGGAACGCTATTCTCTTATTTTTTGTTTCATTTTGCTACGTCATTTCCCGCAAGTTCTTCGGACTTGCACGAATTTAATTTTGTCTATTTTGAGTTTGAAGCTCGGAGAATTTTTAGAGTTCCCGTCTTTCGGATGGTTCTTTATCGAGAAAATTCGATAATGAAACGTCTGCTGTTCCGTATAAGATCCCAACGTGTCCGTGGGGGATTAATAATGAAGTCTCAAAGACCCACTTGAATCTTCCAATGAACGGTTCACTTCAGCTTTCCTTCAGACGGAGTAGCTTCTTTGTCTTCGCCGGTGGTGATCTCGCAAAACGCGACTACTCCCATCGGGTCTACCTTTGTCTTCTCTGTCTTCGTTTTTAATCCTCTATTGCACGATCTGGACACTCGGGAACCGAATGAAAGCACTTCCAGTGAATCATGTTTTCTTGTCGCGGCATTTAATAATCTAGACTCCGCCATTTATATCTTAATTTATAAAATAAAATTCACGCAATAGAGGGTTCGTTAATTCAATCAATTAGCCACACCATCATTCTTCGATTTCTTTCTCCAATCCTGATGCTCTTTTATATTCTCATCCATACATATTCAGTAATTACTACATTATAAAATATCTTAATTCATTTCACCCTTCGCTCTTCTTTTCCCTTACATTTGCATTCATGTATTCTACAATTATCGTACTGTTCTTTTGATACCCACGTTATTATTCTAAACAATGATTATACACCGAGGATGGCTCAATTCAACCCAGAGAGACAATTGAAAACGGTTTGGCGTGTTTCAGGAGCGTCTACAGCGTTTCGTTCCGCGACTGGTGCAACTGCTGGCCGAATGGACGGAAACATTCCCGTACGATTTCCGGGACGAGAGGGTGATGGGTCACGTCAGGTCCATCACGCAGAAGATCGCTGCGGTCGACGCTGCGGCCCGGCAGGAAGTTTCAGCGTTGCTGCAAAACTTGCTGCTACGACTGACGGCCCTGGAAAGGTACGAGGAGGGTCTGGCCAGGCTCGCGACCGAGGCAGCTACCGACCAACTTACACAGGTACGTAAGTTTACTACAAAAGCGCATTACGATCGTCGAAACTCGCTACCGGGTCCACGGTTAAATCGTCGGTTCATTTGTTCCGTTTCGAGACATTGAAAGTAGGTAACTTTTTGAACAACTTTCTGAATTTGTTTGGAGATGTCGTTGACGTATAGAGATCGTTTATTATTTAAGGATTTCGACCTCTTTTGATCGATTTTATGTGAAGATGGTCGGATTACTGAATTATTTTTAAGGAACTATCCAAAATTAAGGTTGAGTGCAAATTTAGTTAGGATAGTTTTCAATATTTAATTTAGATTCATAATGGTGACCTGTAAGGTACTTTATATTAATAATTGGAATATGTACATAGTTGGACAACATTCCTTTATGAATCCAAGCTAATATTCTAAGCTAATATCCAAGCTACTATTAAATCTCAAAATAAATCATTTTTCCGAATTTGCATTTAGCTACTAAGAATAGGTAATGATTCCCTATTTTTCTCAAAACCTTTTCTGAATTCCAATCTGTTTATTATGTCCCAAACCTAATACACCTCTTTTAATTAAAAATTGATATGAGTGCATAAAGCGCATTTTCATTTCGACTTCCATTCGCTCCGTCGGATCTCCTGATTGTTTATCTCGTGTTACCAGTATTAATTCGTTCGCGTACACGCGCCAATGCCTCGATCGTATTTATCGGGGTTCAGTGGCGATTATTCGGTTTACTGTAACTGCGTGAAGCCTTCGAGAACTTCCGGTATAATGAACCGATAATATTCTGTCTACGATACTCGGTGCCCGCCCGTTTCCCTCGTTTCGTGCGCCAATTCCATCCTCTCCCAGCATCAGGCCCTTGTTTCGGTTTAAATGGTCCTCAATGACGCGTGTATCGATTCCATGCGCACTTTCTGCTATTTGCATATGAGCCACTGTTTGCATAAGATGCTCTTAGTTATCCAAACCGCAATAGAGTCAACACCACGAGCACGAGACTTATGCAAATTTTTCATTCTATGATATTGGAAAGGGTTTCCAAAAGGGATGGAAAATTCTATCTGTTTTTTTTTTTTTTAACAAAGGATGCCTATCAGTGTAATGGACACTTAAACGACATGTTATAATACAATTTTCATTAAAGTCATGTAATAATTCTTCAGTAATAATTCTTTTCATCCTCTCGACCAATCGATCCCTTAAGATAAGAAATTCACGAAGACCTATATTCAGTTGACTGAAGTATTCCAAGACTGATAATCATTTCATGTCACTGTTAGTATTCTTACATTCGTAGTAGTATTATTAGCCTTCAACCTATTGATTAAATAACTCTCAGGTATACTTCTACCCACGTTCTCCTCTGTCAAGGACTAGTCTTGACTTTTTCGCAATACCAATCGATTCCTTTGGACAACAGATTTATACTCCTATCTCTTCCATTATCTCAAATATTTATGAACTCAACATAATCCCTGCCAGTATCTTTACCTTCGTGATATTACACCGTCCTCGACCCATAGATCATCTTCCCATCCCCAAAAACCACCCCCATCTCCGTCTTCATCCCTGTTCACTCAGAACCAGTTTGTATTTTTCTGAAAACCCAATCGATACTCGACGACAGATTTGCAGACGTATATATTCGTCCAAGTACTTAAGAACTTGATCCCGCTGACGTGATCCCTTCGCAATCCAGTATCTCCGCTCGTACCTTGCATCTGTATATATAACTATACCTCGATACCACCCAAAGACGATTTCTCGTGTTTCGAGGAATGAAAGTGGCTTCCTTTCTCCTCGCCAGGCAATCCTCCCTCGAAATCGATTTCCCAGCCACGCGCACCCTTTTCGACAGACGTTTCAATATTTTACCTTGGACCTAACCGCGACATCAACGACACGTCCGATTCGCGCAGCGTTCGGCTACGCGTGAATCCTGTTTGTACATGTTATTCGCATTCCTCCGTCGACCTCGAGGCGCAGGGGGGCCACGCATGCACAGGGAATCGCGTATTCGCACGCATGCACTTTGTGCAGTTAAGCTAACAGGGTTAGGTAGTTTCCCGGGCGCGGGAGACCGTGCAGTAACTATTCGGTTTAATTTGATTACCCTACGCCTATCTGCCACCGCGTGTAACACCTACTAATAGCTAATTTGCAACTGCATTAGTTAGTTAAATATGCCCGTGCATCGGGCGCGGCTAATCAGGACGGAATTGCGTGAGCTCGGACCGCTACAAGCTCCGTTGATGATCGTGCGGCTGGAGAAATTGCCCCAGTACTCTATTGTTTCGTTGCACGGATACCAGGAATCCCGTTTCGGACGCTGGACACGTCCATTTTGACCGGCCAGACGGGATAAATTCCTATTTCCGAGGCGGATCGTTCTTGGGTTCCAGGATTTTTATGCCTATTTTAATCTTACATTCATTATTCAACTCTAAGTCTATACCAAAGTAGGCTGGTTAAACGTGAAATAATGTGAGCGGTGCTAAATTACCCTTCCATATTTCCAGTATGTAATAGTGCCATAATTTATCACTGCTAAATATTCATGGGCAAGTTTGCACGCATTTATACAGATTAAGGAATTTTGTCAATATTTCTCTGTTACCTAAAACTAATTATAGCGGTATCTGAGTGACTCTTATAGCTGATGTAAATTGATAAAAGTAAAGCTCACTTATTTATTGCAAGAAAATAGATATTGTTATGGCTTTGAGACGGTGACTAGTCAAATAATCATAAAATACTAACTGACAATGAGCCTACCATGTGTAACCATGGGTAGCGTTGGTATCAACTAAAATAAATAACGAATAATCAATGGCCAATTCTTCTCCGCAAAAAATTATTTACCTTTCTGGGATCCATTTTCGCAGAGTTAGCAGATATTAATGGCAATAAAAGGTAGTTTTATTTCCAACCTCAAAAGATCTTTCATCATTGCGATGACGTAGCATTAAACGCATATTTTATCCCGGACGAATGAATAATAGTCCCGCTCTTTGCGTTCAAAGGGAGATAAATTTCCTGCCGCATAATAAATAACTTCCTCGTCAAAACCGGTAGGAAATGGCTTCATCTCCTATCAGAAGTTTCCGGAAATTGTTGAAAGCGGCTTCTTTAAACGGCAGCTTTAATATTCTTCCCGTGTAACCATCCCGTAACTTGGCTCCTTGATTCAATGGAAATTGTTACGATAAATATAACATACTCGGTCGCGACGGGGTACGTTTCGTATTCATGGGAAAATTAATGTGAACGCAATTTCCTCTATCCCCGCAGTTGAAAAAGAAGGAAAAAACGAGAGCATCGTGGCTCGTTCATTGGAGATCACTCGCAAACTGTTCGCGAAAGGTATTACAATCGCGAGGTATGAAATAAATATTAAAAGGTTGAAGCATAAAATGCAGCTAATTTTTTCAATTTTTTTATAAACTCCATTATTTGTATATGTATTTTTGTGTTTAACAATTCTGGCCCATTGGTTATTTTTATCCAAGTCTGATTCACAGTTCGCTGAAATTTCGATGACCATTGGCTAGTTTCTTTTGCATAAAGGGAAAAATAAATGATTAAACATGGTAGCTTTGCGTTTATTTGCAATATTTTTAATTAAAATGGACGCTTCGAACGCAGTGTAAAGAGTACACTCTTTGAAGTAGACCAGCAAATTAATATACAAAATTAATTTACATCTACTCTCGTGTGTAAAATATTCGATGCTTTATTTAAAATAAATTTTAATGTTTCCAGTTCGATGGAACCAATCGTTCCATTTTTGGATAGCTACCGAAAGAGTACTGTCGAAAATTGAATTTTCAAACTTAATCATCGCACTAAAATCGTCGATAGAATCGATGGTGATCGGAATATTGATCTTTCCCGTTTTCAGTACTCCACTATAATGGGAATATGATATGTCAATCATAAAATACACAATATCTCGCTTGGAGTCATTTCCCATGCAAAACCGTCTACAACAAAAACCATTGAAACCTGAATTTGTAAACTTATTTATTCCGCAAATATTTTCGATAGAATCGAGAATAACCTAGACGTCAATCACCCCTCAATATTTCAATCGAAAACGAATAATGGGGCGTCAGCCATAAAACATGCATTAATCTCGCTTGCCATCACTCGTACAACAAAAACGTACAGAATAAAAAGTACAGAAAATTACATTTCCGATTTTATTTAATCCACATAAATTTTCGACATAGTCCATAGTAATCGAGATACGCTATGCTATAGCTTCCTACTCTCCGAAGCTCCACTAGGTCGAGTTTCAACAGAGCCTCGTCTCAAAAAAATTAAACAAAAAGCGTATCTGAAACAATGTTTGCCTCGAAACGATGTTTTCCCATTCTGGACAACATCGAGTGATACAGCTGGCGCGCAATAAGGAGTCGTCGCTGAATAAAGAAGAGTGTCCCGCGGCCGCGAGACATCTTTTCAGAGAATCGTATTTGCGTGGCGCTTGTACGTCTGTGGCCAAGATTTACGGGCGGAATTGCATCGAAAGTGCAGGAAGTCGGAGGCTCAAAGGAAAGCAATAAAAATGTACGAAGATGGGCGAAGGGGGGAAAAAACGTCAGGAGGGGATAAGGAAACGGGCGGGTCGGGGGCTCTTAGGAAGCTCCGGCTTATTAAAGCGGAAGTTCGTCGCGCTTTTTGAACTCGTTCCTGCTACGCGCCGCGACGACAGCTTCGCTTGAACTTTTCAAGAAGCGAGACGTAACTCGCGAGACCAATAATACGCCCTTAATCTCTTTTCCTACCCCCTCTGATTCCGTCGTCGTGACGCTTCTTTTTCGGTCTCTATCCTTCGTGGCCCGACCGTCAGAAAAGTTTCAACCGTGGCCGGAAACTGGCTCGACTACGGAATGCTTTATCGCATTCGACAGGACGCCGTGTTATTAATGTCTCGATCAGCTGTTTACCGCCTTTGCTTAGGCGAAACGCTGCTGACTTATTCAGAATTTTATTAATACGCTGTGAGGT